TTGTGTCCAGTACTACTGGCTGTTGGTAGTAAAAGGACAAATTGTTATAGCAGCCAAAGGCAGGCCATGGGGTACATCCTCCAAATGTGGCAGAGACACGGGGAGTGAGGAATCTGAGTGATTCATTACATAATAAAACTCCGGTATCCAAAGGCCAGGTTCCTTTCTGAACATTCAATATGCTCTATTTTCTGGATATGAACGATCTATAAATTTCCAGCTCAGCCCACAGATGAGTAAAATTTAACTTATACAATAGCAGATGCTAGGGCTTTTTTATTTATTTATTTTTCTTTTTAAGGATTTCACAACAGTATAATGTAATGTAGAGACAAATTACTGTCATGCTAAATCTGCTTTTGATCCCACCCTCCACACTGCACATTTCTCAAATAAGTTGACACGTGTTATTTCAGTAAAACAGTGATGTTACATACGCCTCTGTGTACACAGTGGGATAATAAATTTGAATTATTTCTAGATGCTCTGATGCAGGGAAATTTTTGAAAGCTCATAAGCTTTAAAGTTCACTCAACCTCAAGTTTTTACTAAATGCAAAGTTTACATGTCACTTACATTTTCCTAAACTTGCTCACCTTCTTATAAATCTATTTATTGTATCAGAATCCAGGACAAGAATTACATGTATCATCCTGTCACATATATTCCAGCCTTTCAGAGAAAACTTACAAGCAACTGATCAGTAACCAGCTGATATCATTGCCCTAAGCCTCAGAGTGAGGCTTCCCTGAAGCCTGTCATCTTTAGGATGGGATGGGATAGAATAGAATAACAAGAAATAGAAAAAATAGGAATAGAATATTACATTTTAGTTGGAAGGGAGCTACATCAACCATCTAGTCCCACTGCCTGACCAATTCAGGACTGACCAAAAGTTAAAGCATATTATTAAGGACATTATCCAAATGCCTGTTAAGTGTTGACAGGCTTGGGACATTGACTGCCTTTCTGGGAAGCCTGTTCCAGTGTTTGACCACCCTCTTGGTAAAGAAATGCTTCCTAATGTCCAATCTAAACATCTCCTGGTGCAGCTTTGAACCATTCCAGCACATCCTATCACTGGGTACCAGGGAGAAGAGCATCTCCCTCTCTGCTTCCTGTCCTCAGGAACCTATAGGAGAGCAATGAGGTCACCCCTCAGCCTCTTTTGCTTGAAACAACACCTAGTGTCCTCAGCCACCCCTCACAGCACAGGCCTTCGACCCCTTTCTCCAGCTTTGTTGTTCTTCTATGGATGCATTCAGGGACCTTCCCTTACTTTTCAAATTGTGGGGCCCAGTACCACACACAGCACTCAGGGTGAGGCTGTACCAACGCTGAGTACAGGTCACCACTTCTGCCCAGCTGCTCATACTGTGTTTGATGCACCCCAGGATGGGGTTTTCCTTCTGGGCTGCCAGGGCTCACTGCTGACTCACACTGAGCTGCTGTTGGCCAGCACCCCCAGATCCTTCCTGCTCTCCAGCCACTCCTCTCCCCATTTATACTCATGCCCAGTGTTACCCCATCCTAGGCACAGAATCTGGCTATGGACTTGTTAAATTTCATCCCATTAATCATAGCCCAATGCTCCAATCTATCTAGATCCCTCTGCAAGGCCTCCTATCCCTCAAGAGACTCAACAGCATCCCCCCATTTGGTATCATCAGCAAACCTTCTAATGGAGTATTCACTCCTGTATCCAGATTGTTGATAAACTTATTGACTGGAACCAGTCCTAGGACTGAGCCCTGAGGAACACTGCTAGTGACTGGTCACCAGACAGATCTAGTCCAATTCACCACAACCCTTTGAGCTCTGCCCCTCAACCAGTACTTCACCCAGCACTTCACCCAGCACACCATGAACCTGCTCTGGAAAACTTGTCCAGAAGGATGCTGTGAGAAAAGTATCAAAAGCCCTACTGAATGCAACAAAACCTACATCTACCACCTTTCCTTCATCCTGGAAAGATGACCTTATTGCAGAAGGATATCAAATTATATGAACCTCTGTTTACTGAGCCTGATGAGTGCATTGTTCAATAAATGCCTTTCAATTGTACTCAACATGATCCTGTCCATAATCTTTCCAGGAACTGAGGTTAGACTATCAGGTGTGTAGTTCTCTGGGTCTTTCTTATGCCCTTTTTGTATACTGGAATAACACTGGCTAGCTTCCAGTCATCAGGATCGTCCCCAGATGCCCAAGACCTTTGGCAGATGATTGAAAGGGGTCCTGGCTCCTCCAGCACTCTGGGATGAATCCCATCAGGCCTCATGGATTTGTGACCATTCAGCTGATACAGCTGGTCAGGGGAAAGCATAAAATTGTATCCATGAGAACCCGTACAAATTTTCAAAAAATGGCACTTAATACTCACCTACAGTGTTTGCAGACCTGCTCCTTACAAACTTCTTTTTAATAACTGCTAACTCTCCCATCCTTACTCTGCTTTGCTTGTTCCTGTTGCTGCATGATGTTAAATTAACTTTTCCTTTCAACCTAGACTGCAAAACACTCTTTGTATGACTGGTCGAATGAGAGCTGAGGATCTCCCCAGAGAAAAGGTGACACAAAAATATAACAGCACTGTCATCTGAAAAAAAATTCGTAATTTTTACAGTAACTCATGAAATTCCGTGTATTCCTCCCACAGTCATTTTAGCAAGTACGTGTGTTATCCCAGACAAACCAGAAGAGGAACTTACCAAAGGGTGCATGTTTCAGCGCCTCACAAAAAAGTGTAATCACTCATAATTCAAATTCAAGTATAGTTTTCCAAGTGACACTAATTTAAAACTGCTTTGTTTAAAGCAGAGAGGAAAAATGAGGAATTTTTCCAAGCCATTTGCTAAAAACAACTCTCAGGGCAGATTTTCACAAACATTTACATGCCTAAAGACACCTACTGGCATTTTCCACAATTAGGTGTCAGGAGTGCTATTAAAACCCAGACAACTATTTGCATTGTTGGGCAATTAAATGCCTCCAAACTCCAGCCCTCCATCCTGCAGCACATTACCTTGGAGAAATTCCATCACCCAGACACTTGCATATAAAAATGCTCCATAACAGCTTATGAACAATGCCATAAACCTCACTGATGCAGTAGTTACATTTGGTGCCAGCCTACTGAGTAGGTCTATCAGAAAGAAAGAGGTACATACACATCACACTAATGCTTATGCCCAAACACTGCACTTGCTGACAGCTTGTTTTCATGTCACCAAGAGCAATTCTGCCATGTTAATGTACTTCAAGAACATCTTACAGGATATCTTACAGGATACTCTTACAGGAGTATCAGCTACATCACATTGTTTTGTTCTTCTGGTAATTAATTCCTGGTAAGAACAGGAGGAGATCTGACTCTGATAGAATGCTAAATTAAAAATTAGTAAATCCTTCTTTTTATCATTAAAAGTTACAAGTCTCATTTATCTCAAAATTGTGGGAGATATTTTGGGGATTTTGCAAAGAGCTCTGAATCTGGAACCATCCTATAGTAGTCACAAACTATATTTTAGATCACTTGTGCACAAGTTTTATGCAAGGTGTGTGCATAAACCCCTAACTATTTGGACATTAACAGCAGTACTAGACTTAACCCATGGAATCTACAGGGTGAGCACAAGTCTGCTCATAGGATTATGGTTTGATTTCCATTGTCCTCAGTTTGCTAGTGGAAATTGAAGTCATGTGATTTTATATATTTAGGGAAAAGGTTTTCTATTTCTGTGACCTCCTGTTGTTCAAATAAGAAAGCTCTAATTTCTCCAACAGAAATGCCAAGCCTGTAACTTGACAGGGAGGCGTTACCAAAACAACTAACCAGTTTTTGATAGCTGCAACACTATGGTTTCTCCTTCTGGTTCAGCCTCCTACATATAAAAAAAAAGAAACAGAAGCCTAAAAAATAAAATACTTCATTTGTGGAAAGCCTCATAGGATAACTGACTTGACATTAACAAAGGCTATTATTGCAAATTTATATACAGCCATCTATTCCTAGTTGAAGTTACTATGACATACACAAACACGTGCACAGAGAACCATGTGCATGCACAGAGTCCCTTTTCAACCTGAAAAGCATATTTTTCAAATTGTGATTCCTCTGTGTGGCCAGCAGCAACCTGATGACCTTTACTATTGTGTCAAATCCTTACCCATGCTACAAGTCCTGGATTCAATCTAAACAGTTTTGAGCAACATACAGAAAGGCAGCCTTTGCAGAGACCCTAGGTAATATATTTTCCTGGTAAACAGATTTTTACAACAGAAATATTGTAGTTTCATTATAGATTGTCATGGAAAACACTGCATTTCAATGCATCAGGGAAGGTATGCGCATTTTAAATATTAAATATAAATAGGCACATAGCAAGAGATTTAACCTTGCAAGTCCTCCAGTGGAGAATCCTTGACTGAAGAACAGTCCAATTTAAGTAAACCTGACCCCAGTAAGCCCAGGCCATTCAAGCTATACTGAGCATGTGTTTACAAAGCAGATCACCCCCATTTACTCGTCAAATAAGAAAAATCTTTTAAACCTAGAATGTCATAAGAAATGTTTCTTTTCCTTTCCATTCAGAAATAAGCAAGGTGAATTAACAGAAATATACATCTGAGCACAGGACAGATGAGAATGGAAATTGTCAACTCTCAAACACATATTTTTTATTTGAGAGATTTCTGATATTTTACATTACTATTGAGGCTACATTCAAATAAATTTATAGGTTAAATTCTGCCTCAAAAACAAACACCCATCTCTTATCCTAAGTCATTTAGTGAAACCCTCACTGGCACAAAACTTCAAGTAACCAGTATAAATTATGACGCATATCTAAAAACCAGAATTTGGCTGTGATATTGGATCTTAAGAAGACACAGTCAAAAAATCATAATACCCAGGATATCACTCCTGATAACTTCTGGAAGCCGAATCTGATATGTTATCAGAAAAAAAATTGTTTTCTTCATAAGTACACTTCCTAAATAACATTTTATTTAAATAACATTTTATATCAGGACAAATAAAAATAACAGAAGAATTACATAGGCAATGCAACATGGGAAACCAGGTTTTGAATCATACAATCTCACTGTACAAAAGCAGGATGCCACAGACTCATGGTTAAACCTATTTTACAAGATAACATCCTGTTGTGCCTCAATTCTGTAGCATCTCTGGAGACATCATCCTCTTACACAGAACTGGTTTTACGTTTTAAGGGACAGCAGAGAATTATTCAATGAAATGTTTAGATGTAATGTGGATGCTCTGCTTTTGATGCTGGTTCATATTAGGGATAGGTTTGTGATATAAAGGATTCAATTTTCAAAAGTGAATGTTTCTTTTTAATACCCTGATTTTAAAATATTCTGTCTGAGAAACCTGAGGCCTGATTTTCAAAGGGATACATATGTTCCACTCCAGAAAAATTGCTAAGTATTACAGGTACTCAGCAGCTATGAAATCAAACTTATGGTTTGATCTAGGGTTTTTAAGAACAGAAGCACCCAAAATGGCCCTTCACATTACTGTGGCTTATAGACATAATTAAATAACTTATTTGTGTGGTCTTTTCTGTATGCATACACAAATGCATCCCTGACACTACAGCTTTTAAATCTGAGCAATTTTAGCCAAAGCTGCAGGATTCTTGGTGAGGTATAAAACTGAAGTATCCATAGGTAAAGTTAAGCATGTCCATAAATAAGCATACAAATTGAACAAAACTGTGCCTGCAAAAAAGTAGGCACTGGATTTCTTGCTTTTGTAAGAGTCCATTAATATATTAATAGAGGTTTTACATGTTTTATACACTCAGATATATACATATATTTTATCAGTAATGTGTGTTTACATACATACATGTGCACATATGCAAACATATGTGTACACTTACCACACACACACTCACATTCTCTTATTTACACACATTCAATTTCTTTATTTTTAAAGAAAATGCCACCATTTAATAAGCACTGAAATTGGTTCCAGGTTCTCCATGATTTTAGAATTATAGAAAAAGGTAACTTACATCTGTCATTGCATATGAAAAAAAATATCTGGACTTTACAACCAAATTAAAATAAAAAGAAAGACCAAACACACCGCTCATGCTACCAGCTTTCCAATTAGGAATCAAGATATTGGAATGAATCTGGTATAAATGCAAGAAGCAATGGCAGCATTTTGTGTGACTATTTTTTACAATTAGTGTGAATCTTTTGGAAGATGAATTAGTATCAATTTGTGGTGAGCAAAAAGTTCTTTCCTAGACAGGTCACAGCTGAGCCCCTTTCTTCTTCTGCTCCAGCTCCTGCAAACGTTCCTCCCGGCACTGGGCGTGCTGTGTCCCCACTTTGTGGGCTGTCTCAGTGGCTGCAATGTCAATCTGTGCATATCGGGATGATCCACTCCCTGAAACATCAAATGAAACCCCGTAAAAGACTCTACCCCTCATATATTCCTGGGTAAAACTGGCACAGGGTTAAGTATTGAGACACTTCTTCCACTGATTTCCTGGATGATCTTGGCCTGGTCTTAAAGCAAGCTGTGTAAAGCGAGTAAGATTATAACCATAGCTAAACAAAGCTCTTTGAGGTGCTTTGTATATCTACATATTTCAGCTATCAGGTTTTCTTCAAATAAGCAAAAACGAAACCACTTGCATTTCTGCCCCAGCTTCAAAGCTCCATTCCTACTGCTCCCAGTAAATGACAAAATTGAACTCAGCATTCCCACTTCCATGAGGCTTCATCACCAAGCTACTAGTCAGTAAATGAACAACATCTGGTATTTGAACAGAAAACATTTGTGGCAGTTGGCAGAGTTCTTCTTTGTATGGATTAGGCACGCTGTGAACATTTACCAGAGCAACCACCTTCAGCCTCAACCAGAATGACATTTTAGTTCATTTTTTGGCGATAGGGGAGATAAAAGCTGCTCAGTCTTCTCTAGAGTAAAATAGTTTTGTATAGGTGCAGACATACAGGATGCAGGCTGGGAAAACTTTAATATGAAAAAAATAAAGTATGGTCATTAAAGACATCTTCAAAGTTACACCATTTGAGCTTGAGAGGGTGGCTGACATTTAGGAAAGTTTATGGAATTTGAATCTTCATTCTTAATGCCTTACTTCGTTGTCTTTAAAATGAAGATAAAATATTTCAACAGGAGAACTATTTTTAAGTCTGAGAGAAGCTTAGAATTACTTAACTAAAACCATAAAAACATTTTTAAAAAGCCCAATGGGAAAAGTCCTAGCATTTCAAAGTTTATAAAATTGCTGAATTTAAAAGTATAAAAGCTAAAATCTTAATAGCTGGAAACTATAGATGGAAAAGCCATCAATACCAAATGTGAGCAATTAAATGCGAGATTCTGATTAGATGCTTTCTGTAACAAGGACTGCATCTCTAAATGACAATATATGGTAGATATATTGCATGCTTATGTACTAATTGTTCAAGTTAAGCATTAGAAGTAAAATACCCAATCCAAATAAAACAAACAAACAAACAAACAAAAGTATTTTTTTAAAAAATCAGATAATTGGGCTGGCTTTCTCTTTGTAGCACTTTCATATATCCTCACGGACAGCAGATAGAAGAGTACTGTGTTCTGTTCTTAATCATTTGCTGCATGGCTCCAGAGTCAGTGTCTTCAGGAGCAAGCCCTGTACAGCTATACCCACAGTCCCGTTTCTGAAGCCAAGCAAGAAAACTTAAGTAAGTTTAGTCCTAATACGTGGGATGAAAACCTTGAGAACACAAGCAAATTACTGTCTTTCAAACTCCACAGACATAGAAATGTTCACTTGAGAAGGAGCACATATACAATGCACCTGTCAAAGGGATGCAACATCTTATAGAACACCATTACTCAAAAATCTTTCCCAAAAAAAGATGCCAATTAAAGAACTGCCTCACAAACATACCAGAGTTCAACTACCGGTTAGCAAAAGCCTGTGGGTAGATTATTGAGTCATTAAGGTTGGAAAAAACCTCCAATGCCTGACTACTCTTTCAGTGCAGAAATTCTTCCTATGTCCAACCTTAACCTCCCCTGGCAAAGCTTAAGACTGTATCCTCTTATCCTGTTGCCGGTTGCCTGGGAGAAGATGCCAACCCCCACCTGGCTACAATCTCTTTTCACGTAGTTGTAGTGAGTGATGAGGTCTCCCCTGAGCCTCCTTTTCTCCAGGCTAAACAGCCCCAGCTCCCTCAGCTTCTCCTTATATGAAATTAGGATTCCCCATGCTCCATTCATTGTGCATTACTGTATCCTTTGCTGTTTAAATAGTATTGTAGACTTCCTTACCTCTTATGCTCGTGCTAGGTTCTTGAAGTTCCAGTTCCATGTAATGAAGCTGTTTTTTGGAAGTAGGACTGACAGGAATATTAACATAGGTAGCTGTCTCACTGTGGGGTCGATCTGATGTAGGGACATCAGCCGAATAACCTACTGCCCCTTCTAAAATAAATAACATGTTATAACAGATCTATTTGCAATGACCAATTATCTATTTCATACAAACACACTGAAAGTAAACATTGAGCAGTAATAACCCTGCTTGCCAAACAGTACCTTCCTCAGTGGTAGATGGGGCATGAGAAGACTACAGTTTCTTCCTAAAAGATCCTGAGACACACTGATCAAGTCAGGATCTATGCAGAAGACCACAGACCAGGATCTCGCTGTGTTTTGGCAGAAAATAAACACTATGCAGACATTTCCCAATAACAGCAACATGCGCGGCACTATCTCGTAAGGTTTCCAGCTCCAGCTTAGGTTAGTGAAGCTTTATATGAAGTGATCTGTTTTAGGAAGATGTGAACTATTATATCATCTGCAAGACAGCAACCAAAATCACTAGAGGTTCAGAAAGCATATCCCAAAAAAGGGACTGAAGAACTATTTCAAATAAAGGGAAAACAAGCCTGAGGAGACAATGCTGGCTGCTTTCCTGTACTCAATTGAAAAAGATAGGAATTATGTCAAGTAAGGACAGACCACGTAATAAAAGACTTTCATTGCAGGAAAACACATAAGAACACTAGAGTAAATTCCACAGTTTTCTAGAAATTTCTAAAAAAGACACAGATTAACACCCACCAGGAAAGAGCTCCTATAAAGTGATTTTGACTTAGAGACAAATTTTTTTGGTTATTGGATTAATTCTAAAGACATCTTCAAGCCCTACTTTCAATTATTCTAATCTTGTCTGCCAGTCCAGGCCAGTTGGAGTCCTTACCCTTAAATGCTTTCTGCTCTTAAGCCAGTTGAAGACAAAGGAGAGCAGAGGAAAAATAGTATCACTTTCAGGTTCTCCCTTTCCATGAAGTTCTCCCATTAAGCCCTTCCTTGTCCCCACATAAAACTCATCTCAAAACTTTGTTTGTCCAAACTGCTGCTTTTCTCTTTTGCCATTTAGACACTACTGAGATGTGAATGGAAAAGAAGTAGAATATCAAGGCATTTTAGAGCATGGGGAAGAATGACTTCTTATATCCAAACAACAGCCATAAATAATCATTAAGAGAAACTTTTTCATCTCCTTGGAAGTATTAAGAATAGCAGAGATAGTTCATACAAAATTAGGCAACAGTAAGGGCATGTTCCAGCATAATGGAATCTCCCTGGGCTTAAGCTGTCTAAATCAAAGGAGTCTACTATGCAGTCCAAAAAATTGCCAAGTTGGCCAATTTTCCCACAGATTTTCATAAAGAAAATTTACAAACATCCACAAAGTATACAAATAGTTTTCTGATAGTCAGACTTCAAGTCATTGTTCCAAAGCCAGATGTTAGGGGGAAAATGGCAAAATCAATGCAGAATCAATCAGAAGAAATTTTTATATCTTCATTAAACATCATTCTCAGAAATTATTCTGTCTAAAGTATTTCAAAGGAATTTGGCCTGGCTGTGCCAAAAGGAATTCAGCAGAATCATACCACTGAGAACCTGCATCACAAATAGAAGTTGTAAGCAAATGACAATCTTAAGGGCTAATACAGAGTGATGAACAGCCATGAAGGAAAAGATAATTTTTGAAGTCTTTCTGTACGCTGCTAAAGTGATGTAGCAGGAGCTTAAGTGAAACATCCTCAAAGCTGGCTAGTATGAAAACTAGCAATCTTCTCTATAGAGCTAAACAGTTGACAGGTTTCAGGAAGCTGAATATCATACCTGATCCAGACAAACCAAGTGATTTTCCTGAGAACTGGAAAGCCACACATGGAGAATAATATATTCATTGGTAGGCCTTTGTGCAAGAAAAGCAAAAGAAACACACAATAAAAAGAAGCCCCTGGCAAGAGTCAAACATTCTTCTCAAAGTGGGAAGAAGAAAAAAAAAAACAACCAAGAACAAAGTTTGGAAATTGGAATGGAAGGAAAGGAAAAGTCTTCTGTTGTTCAGTCAGTGTTGTCTTAATAGAAACTGTGCTTTCTTTGTAAACACAGACATACTTTGCATTTCATTTTTCCTTTAGAAAAAAACCAAAAACCTCATTAGACACTAAAAACTGGCTCATATTTTTTTTTAAGATAAAGGTTTATTTAAAAAGCACGAGACAGTCAAAAGCTCCTACTAAGAAAATAAGGCCCACACAGAGAGCCATGGACAAAGACAGTGCTTTCAGCCATCCATTCTGGGTGGACAGAAGCAGAAGATGCTTATAAGAGGGGTCAGAAGACCAGTATTTGAGAGCATTTTGAAAGGAGAATTTGAAAGAAAAACAGATGAAAATGCATGGTTACAACATTCTGCATGCTTACATCTGAAAGAATTGGTAGAATATCATGATTTCTTGAAGAGAAAAGGGGAAAATGTAGGAATCAAAAAAGATAGTTAAGCAAGTAACAGGAGAAGCGTAAAACTGAAAATTCAGTGGCCCTAACCTGATGGGGAAACGAAAGGAAAAGAGTATAACTGGGGAAAGAAGAAAATTATATTTTAAACTGCCTTTCTTTTAGCAAGTGCTGCTCATATTTTCTACCCAATATAGACACTGTTCTCAGAAATGTACAATAAATAACACAGCAATACAGCACAAAGTGTGTTTGTGAGAATGCACGTAAAGCTAACATGTTCAAAGGGCAACACTTCAAAAATAAACACTTAAAAGAAATCTAAACAAAAAAAAAAAAAAAGAAAAAAGAAACTGGAGGTGTTAGTGTCCTCTGATGCAACTGACTGCAAAAATCTGTACTCACCAGGTTCCTCAGAGCCAGTTGGAGTTCCAGGTTCTGAAGGAAGTGTTAGCATCTCATGTCCACTTTTAGGACCTAGAATACAGGAACACTGTTAATGGCTTTGGATTTAGGATTTTGTACAATATAATCAAAGCATATAATTTTCTGGTTTTGACTTGTAACTGTCTAAATTAAACAATCATACAGAATAATCTGAGAAACAGTGTTGACTTTTCTGTAGTGGTGATGCCAGCATTTTCTAACGAATGTAACACCAGGAAGTAAACTTCAGGACATTTTTACAAGAATTCACACTGAAGGCCACTGAAGTCAACAGTGGGTTTTGCTGTACATGGATGTGGGAGCAGAGCTATCTTGAACACATGAATCAGGGAGCAGTGCGTGGGTGATCTTGGGAGCATCTGGAAGACTCTTGTTAAAATTCCACCTCCAGCATGATGGATAACTTCTTGATTTCTGACAAAGCTCTGTAGCAAATGCTTAAACTAGCCCTTCCAAAGATAACTTTGCTTTCCAAGTGCAAATCATCATCTTTACAAGAAGCCAGGTTGCACAACATCATCGGTCCTTCATGAGCACTAAGCCGAAAAAAGATGCCCAGGTTTCTTCATGATCTTGGACTGCACCCCAGTTCAAACAAGGCAAGCAAAAATGCTATGTCCATAGAATGAACACATTGTAATTAATTTTGTATTACAAACACACATAATTTTATCTGCTGGCAGTGTTCTTTTTCTCCATTATCATGAAGAAGTATAATTAAATGTGGTGGGTGTTTTTTCTCAGCATATCATTGTTAGGGTACAGGATTTCTCATGGCCTGAGGTGAGGGGTTTTTTGTGGGTGCCCTTTTTTAAGGTGCTGTCAGCATTTTACCACTGTGAATAAGATTACTGCTCATACTCTGACACTTATCTGTCACTGCCTCTTCTAAACTTATCCCATCTGTCAGTGCCTTTCTAACAAAAACTCTGCAAAGCAAAAATAACCCAAAGAAATACATAAGCCTTACAATAGGGAATCAAATCATACTTTACCTTCAATATTTTCTGATATTTAAAATAATTTAAGTTTAAATTCATTTAAATTTACATGCACACACATACCTTACTTTTACTTACCAACTTGGAGACTGTGCCCTCTATGCACTTTCAAAGACCCAGAAGCTGCCATGACAGAAGCACCACCTTATTTAAAGACAGAGATTCACATTAAATCTAAATAGCTGTTGCTATTATGAGATATCTGCTGTGCATCAGCATTTTCAGTAGATGTTTTTGAAGCATCTAGAAAAATTTCACTAAGAATTACAAGTCATCATAACTGAGTGGGGAGTTGCCTTTGCAATCCATAGCTTTAGCAACAACAAAATTTAAAGTGTTCATTAAAATCTGATCAGACGGGGTCCAAAACTTATTGAAGTGAATGAGAACAACTGTATCATGCTTCACCATCTGTGTTTAGACAAGCATAAACTGGAGCAGGGGGAAGGGCACACAAAGAATCTAGCTTCCATGGGGTTCGAATCCAGGTCACAGCAGTTCTTGTGAAACACCTTCTCAGTGTTACAGCCAGGAAAGCTTTACCACAGACATGCCAGATGGCACAGCCAGTCTCCTTTCCCCAGCCTGATTCATAGAATCAGAGAATCACAGAATATGCTGAGTTGGAAGGGACCCACAAGGATCATCGAGTCCAAATCTTAACCTCGTCCCACACAGGACCATCCCCAAGATGTTCAAGGTGGAGTATTAGGAAAATTTGAGGAAACAAGAGCTAGCAACTCAGAAACCTACGGTGTGGTACACATGTGATGTGCTTTGTCTACATGCACACATTCCTTCTTTATTTACTAATCAGCATTATACCTTCCTGTTGGGTTAGCATTACCCCCATCCAGCCCTGCATCTCTTCTCTCCACTGCTGTCACTGTGAGCACCTTAATCAAGATGAGTGGCACTTACTTCCTCACATGAATAACTGTGAGGGAACTTCTTGTACAAGTAGATGGCACTGAACAGAACTCAGGTAGGAGGCTGTGCCTATGAGCAACCCTGCCACTGCTGACAGGGTGGCTGTGCCATGTGCTGCTGGGTGCTGGGGATCAGGTATAAAAATAATACTCTTCTAAACTGAATCTGAGCAGGTGAGACACTTCTCTGCAAATTGACTTTTAAAATAGCCTCCAGAAATTACCATAGTTCTTATGTAACAGGGAGAAATCATGTAAAATAAATAGTCTGAAATACCTAAGAAAACTGCATGGCCTGGGAATCTAAAGAAAATGCCAGTTTCTTTTTTTTCTCCTGAATAAAGTATACATACTTTTTTTTTTCTAAAACTAAGAATTTCCAAGCTTGTAAAATGAATCCTACAGTTTAATAAAATAAATCTATAAAAATACAGATTATTTCACTTAATGAGGACAATGGATTAAAAAATAATAAAAACCTATTTCAGAAGTTCACAGCTGAACTAAAACCTTTAGTTTGTAGTCTTTGTGTACATAAGAGCATATATGGGGTAATCCAAGGCTACAAAAAACAAGTTTAAAGCATGCCATACTGAGAACCTGATTTGTATTTTAACAAATGATATCAGATTGTAGAACCTTTACACACTCTGGTGAGGACTTAACCACTAAAAATGCTATTTGAAATTTTGTTTTTAACAAGACTGCTCATAAAAATAAATGTAAAAATAGGACAGCCCCGAGCTAGCTGATTTACTTATATTTTCTCTGTAACTGATCTTCATTTTTCTCACCCAGTGCATCCTATCTCTGCATTAAGAATGTCAGAATATGTTTTATGAAGCTGAAAGCCTTACCTTACTTTGAAGAAAGATTACAGCCCTAGGCTAATTCCAGCTTCATCACAAAGCAAGTATGGTATGAGGTTTTTTCCCCGTCAAAAAATCATTGCAATTCAACAGAAATAATTCCAGTGGAAATGTGGATTTTTAAGCAACATTTTTAGGATTTGTGAAGAGCACACAGGACAGGAAAGGAGATTTAAAACAATAAGATATTCCAATCCATTTATGGCCAAGTTTAAATTTTCCCATTCAGAGCTTATTTAAAAGAACTATGTTAATGTTTCAGGATTTGACCTGTTGCATTTTCTGCACTTTCAAATCTGGCAACTAACAAATATTTACATAGTCAAATCTCTCAGGGAATTTTTTCAAAGCTTTGAACTGCATTGTATAAACACATGTCAACAGAGATCGACCTAGATATTTTCTTCCTTCTTTACAGCTACCATATAAACTGGTTTGTTTCTTACTTGTGAATCCTAGGATAAAACTTCCAGGAATGGAAAAAGCAAGTTAGCAAGACAATTTTCTGAGCAGATAAAGTATCCAGCAGGAAACAGATGCTCCTTTCCATCATTCTTCTCATTTTACAAGGGATTATTAATAATATTTTTTTCAGTTTCCCTTGCCACCTAGTTCTATGAGGCTGACTGAGTCTTTGTCAGAACTGAGTTGTTCATCAAGAGAGTTATTTTGGTTCTCCTTTCCTCAATGTGTAAGAGGAAGAAGATAATCAAAATGTGACAAAATTAAAATAATCTGCAGGATATTTTGCATTCCTACATATGATTAGAGTCAAAAGTCTGATGTAGCTCAATGAAGACAACCCCTATTTGAAATATTTGAAATATTTTTCTAACTTTATAGTCGTTGCTTTATGCCCACTCTTCAAAAATAAGCATAACAGTTTACAGCATATGTGCTACAAGAAAAAGCCATGAAAAAAAATTAAGGGAAGATGGAATATACACTATACACTGAGCCCAGACAGTTTATATTTTCAAATCTTGTGACCTATCATTCTGTGACCAATGAGGAGACACAAGCAAAGCTACACTGCATTTACCAAGTGATCACTTCTCACTGCCCAGCTTCCTTCATGGAATAGGTCACAAACTCTTCAAGTCTGGGTTATGAAATTTCTTGAGAAGGAGTCAGGACAGAAGACAACACCACATTCTGTGAAAAATTCCTGCTTCTTGTTGAATTAAAACTACATTTATTATGAAGAACTTTGATCCACTCAGCCAAGCAACATTTCCATCTCCTCCTTTGAAAACAGATACCTTGTTTGAAAGAGCATCCGAAGGCTAGAGCGACTGATTGAGAGGGGAAATACTGCAAGTACACCAGGAGGTTTTTCCATGTAAATGTAATAACAGACTTCCTGGTGCTTTATATTTGCCCTACAAAACTTCCCTGTTTGTCCTCTTCAATTTTCAAAGTAATTTCATATATTTTCTGCTGTACAAATGACATTATCTGCAATACAGAAAAGCTGAAGGGGATACTTAAAAAAACTTATTTGCTCTACAGATTTCACCATATTCAGAAATGCCTCCTGTCTCTTTAACAGAGCACTTCAGAAGGGGTGGAATCACTCAAAATTAGAAATGTTTTCAAGCACACTGTTCAAATATTGCTCCTCCAAGATGCCTGTTTAGTGTACCCAAGAGAATCACAGAGGGTCTAACTACCTCTAGCTATTATTCATCTTCTCACACTATAAGGCCATTCCAGTCCAGCTTTCTATCCTTAAAAATGCAAAAGTGTTAAACTAGAATTATTACCATTTTCCTGTGCCAGGAGACTCGGTGTCTGCTTTTTTGAAAAATATTCCCTCAAAGCTGCTTTACATACATCTAAAGCTCAGGATCTACACTGGTCAAGGATGGAGTTCATATAATGTGTTTCTTTAATGGAAAAAAAATCTGAAATAATCACTATATTTGAAAATAAGGTTCCTCGCCTTTGTGTTCTAGAAGACTGGGATATGTAATTTCCCCAGATTTCAGTGCCAAATAAGGCATGGGAAAGCAAATCAGGAACGCAGAATAGACAGGACTAGAGGGTCACTGTGGCATGAACTTACCACCTTCTGTTACCCCAAAACAGGGAACAGGAACCTACTGGATCTGCTCAACGCAGAGGATGAAGCAGCAGCATTTGGCTCATTCACTAATATATGGTCTTCACCACAGTGACTTTTTCCTTTCCCCTCCTGGGGAAAGGCCCCTAGTAATTCAGACAGTCATTAAAGTCAGGGTTTATCTTGTAAATGCAATATGTATTTTAATCAGCTTGCTTTTTCAGAGCATCTGTATTTCTTCCACTACATTTTGAGTGCACTTGTAGAATAAAGCACGACCAAGAAAGATCATATCACATTATGACAGGGTTTTAATAATCAGTTTCTTATTTTAGTGATGTTCTTCTATTACAGTGTTTAGCCCTATAAGGTATGGCATGACATATTTATGGTGGACACTGCTCAGCACAGTCCTTTACTGGCTCAGTAAAAATATCAGAGTGCATTTGGTCTTCCTACATCTGAAAAGCTGACAACATCTCCTGAAAAAATTGTGAATTATAAATTATTTTCAGCCTAAACAACAATAACCACCATAGTGTGGCTCAGTTTCTTCTTTCTCATTGCTTTCAATTAATTCCTTGAAAACTTACTCCTAAGCTTGAATTAGAAGTATCAGGCTGCATAGGTTTGCAATAAAAAATTTTAAAAATGCACAAAAGAAAGCCCATTTTTCCACCATAAAAGATAAGCTGTCAGACAGCTGACGTCATTTCAGCACCTATCACCTGTTATATACTTAATTTGATTCTTTCTTTTTGTCTTCGTGCCTTGAGTCCCTATCTACCTAAGAACAATTTAATAGAGATACAATGTTCATAATCAGAATTCAGCTGACATTTCAGCTGAATTCCAATCCACAGCATTGTTTTATGTTTATTCCTTAATTCATCCTCTCAGAACATTTCCTATCAAGCATTGTGTAGGTTTGGTATTACAGGCAAAGTGGCTGTCAGAGAGCAAGAGTGTCTGTTGCAATGCTGATGAATTTGTTCCTGTGGAAAACAAAAAAAACATTGAAAAGAAGAGACATAATTTATGAGTCACAAAACAATAGTACAGTGACTGCTTCCGTGGGAGGATATTTGTTAACTTATTTGCCCATTCAACTGTTGACTTTTGCAAAGCCAGAGCCTGTGACACAGAAGTACAGGGAGATCAGACCTCCCACTACAGACGTTTAATTGGAGTGTTGAAATACTCTGGGTTGGGCCTGGCTCCTGGGAATGCCCAGGCAACCAGCTTCCCTGTGGGAATTGAGAAGGGACAAAAGTTTCTGATATACAGTGCATACAGCCAGCATGAAATGCCTTCTCCAGGGACTGCAGAGTGTCCCTAAGCACTTCTGCAAGCCACTCCACTTCTCAACTTAGCTTCTCTAAATAGGAGTCTTGGGATTCAGACTGTTCAGTTCACATGGAGCGGGGTGGCAATTAAGGACAGAAATAGTGGCATTTCCCTCAGGACAGAATTAGTGGCATTTCCTCTCCACACAAAACAGCCTCATGGTTTAAACATCATTCATAAAACAGGATTGTTTTGACATAGTTCTACTCAACTGAGAAAATACAATCATTTTGAAGGAGAATATTTTAAGTAAGAGCTGGAGGTCCCTTAGCTAAGCTGTTGTAATGGAATAGAAAGGAGAACAAGATTTAAATAAGAGGCCTAAACCACAATGAGAAACAGCACAGCTGCTAGGAAATACATTCTTAATGTAAGAATAGCAAAGGACTTTGGATGATTTAAGGTGCGTTAAGGAGTCTCATTGCAGAAATGCTAAACACCTGTCAGACATGCACACAGAAGTACATCCAAACCTCCGGGCAGAGGCTCTTAGTTACACGACAGCTTCAGCCCTGTTTTTCCTACAATACTTTGATTTATAGAACCAGAAAGATAATGAAGATACTGACAAGCTCTTCATGCCACCATTTGGGGAAGCAATGTGCTTTCGTTTCACCTCTCAGCACTGAACGTGCATCTCATTCGTGATCCCTTAATTCAAAATATACAAGCAGTTCCTGAGCAAAAGACCTATATATATATATATATCTGAAATTGCAATCAGAAGATCAAACTACAGAATTTCTTAAGCAGACATGAGAATTTCTGTAAAGGTCCCATGAGAAATTCTCACACAAAGTGTACTAAACTGAGGTGCCTCCAGAACTCAGCAGTCTCAGAAATCAGGAAATCTGAATCACATTTTTGAACCTCTATCCTGTCATAGTATTTTAAGGTCCATTATAACTATAAATGCAGCCTATTATACTTAAGAGCACACATTCTCACATCATACAACTCCAAAGAATCCCTTACCTCGATCTAGTACAAAGCTACAATAACAATGGGAATATTTTCCTCCTACAAACACAAGTAATCTAATTCAGTCCCTCTTTCTAATCAATATTTATATTATTTATAACAAAGCCAACCAAATTACTTAAACCAGAATTAAATGACTCACACCTTGGTTTTTTTCCATCTAGTAACACAATTCAGAATTGTTGCAGCATTTATGAACACTTTTCGGGTTGCCATTAGAATTAAACACATTTCACTACAGTTGCTGAGGCTGTTGTTCAGCATATGTAACTAAAAGTAGAAAGAGAATATCATCACCCACATTCACTACCAATAAACTGAAAAATATTTAAGCAATTGATCCTGACTGTTTAACTCCATGTCCTGCTACAGAACTGAAATACTCAAAACCAAAAATATTGCATAGAATATGTGGGCACATATAGCACAGGGAGGAGTGAGTTTGCATTCTACAGTTACTTGAATAAAAATACTACACGGTCCTCTCTGTGATAAAAAAGAAACATGTTTGTGATTAAGTCAACGGCTGCACTAGCAAAATATATAACTGGATATTGGGTCATTGTACAATCATTCATGGTAGTAGAGGTATCGTGCCACGCATAAGACAGGTTTTGAAAGTAGTTACCTCAAATTAGTGTGCCCTTATGTTATCCTCAACAATGGATAATAATCTGTCATAATAGAGAAACATAGAAAAGTTCTAATGATGTTTAGTCCAACGGAACTGTGCGAATGACTGCTCAGTACCCTGGCACCTTCAGTTAATGGCTTAGATTTAAGAGTCAAAGACTACAGAACTATTTTGAAAGCTCTGCAATGCCAAGTTCAATTATACTTGAAATCTTCACACATATAAAAAACAAAACTTTAAATATCTAAGGACAAGAAAAATGCAATGAGACAGAGAAAGCTTCAGTTTCTTTTGTTTTCTGAAACATAGTGTAGTATTGAAGAATAAAGTTGTACTGATATTAGAGCATTTGAGAGATGGAACCTCACAAAGATAGCTAAAAACTTCAGTCACTGGCTTTAGATGCTGCATTTGCCTTAAGCATTTATACTTATTCCAATAAGTGTTCAATTCTTTTCTTACACAATATTTTCCCAATGTACCAGGAAGGAAAACCCACCTACTCAAATGTCTTCAGTCTAGTACTTCTCTTTCTGTTGATACAAAAAGCTGCCTTGTATTTCTACAATTCCAATTTACTTAATGATAGGTTTTCTCAAAACAACTAACTCTCTCATATGCATGAATAGACTAAGTTATCATCCACTAAGTTATCATCCATAATTGTTGCAACCATAATTAATTTGACACTGAAATTAATACAGAAATAATATTGTGCCCACCATATACAGGTTTCCCTGTATTTACACACGCTTTAATCATAAGTGCTCTGGTTTCCTTGGGTTGATTAGAAGACTTGAAACTTGAGTACCAGAGGGAAAGATAAAATCCTACCTACACCTCTATAAATCAAGGGTAATTCCACTGACTCGAGTGGAATAACTAGAAACAAGATCTGGTAAATGCTTCTGGATTTTCTCCTGCTAAAACAGACAAAGGAATAGAGTTTCCTATAACCTTCTCCAGAGACACCTCCTGATCCTAGATATCTTAGTGGATTTGTTCACACAAGTATCAGTCAGCTACACTGCTTTACATATTCAACAAGGTTTTTAAAAGTAATAAAGAAACCCAAGTACAAAGAGCTGTTGTTCTATGTCTATTGGAAGCAGGAAACCTATGAAATTTAATGGATCTGATGAATTATGTGGCAAGGAATATATTAAGGAATATAAAGGCATTTAAGATACTAACCAAATTCTTTTCCCAGATCTCTTCAAGGACATCTTCGAGGAGATGTTACACAAAACCAAATGCTTATGAAATGTTATCTTTGGCGTAAAATGATAATTCAAAGGTGCCAGACCAGTTTGGCTACATTAGACAGGGAACTCAGATGACCAACACATATTACTGATAGGAAGGTCAACACAAAGATGGTCAGTGTGTTACCTTTACCTAAATAATTTTTCCAGACCCAGTTACTTAGTGTCCTCTCATTAGTGATTTTTTTGGTCAATTAGTAGTTCCAATGACATGAGAGAAGCATCTCCGTGTTGCCTCTGGTAACATTCCTGTTGTTTTGTGTTATTTAGAAAACTGGCTATACACGTATAAATCAAATTTCCCTTTGGTGTTAATATAGCCTAAAAAGAACACTTTCTTGGTGTTCTTCAAATATGTAAGTAGAAAAAGCACTAAACAGCTTCATATAGAAACTGATAACCTTGAACCTCTTTAGATTAAAAAAAGGAAGGAAAAAACAAATATATTAAACCTTGCAACCAAAGTTACTACAAATTATAATGTATTTCATAATTGCCAGTCATGAATTGCGGCAGCAAAAACAACCACAAGCAGGATATCTCTCAATATAATCTTTAGTTCTGCTTCCATAAATCTGTTTTTCTTATCACAATTTGAGATTTAAACATTATCCTTTAATGAACCAAATAACTAAATGACTCCTACCTGATGTAGCTGGTAAGACTCCAGACTGTAATACTGCTGTTCCCTAAAGAAAACAGAAAATTTTAGAATGAAAAATCTTTAAAAGATATAGAAACTTCACAAAATATAGGAAGAATGGCAGAGAAATCACCATCATTAAAGCTTAACAAGTGGTTTAAAATCCAGAACAGATGCAAAGGTGCTCAGACATGAAGATGTTCAAAAAAACATGTATAAGTTGAAAAATCTTAAAAAAGGTTTTGGGGTATTCTTGTGTACATGTCTTACTCATATACCTTAGAAAAGGCTAATGAACTTGGCTTTAGATGCTTTGCTACTGTAGCAGGCATGATGAAGCAAAAAAATTTAATACTGAGACAAAGAGGATATCAAGCTGGAATAACAGGATTAACAGACGTAAATTAAGTCCAGGTCTATATTTGTTTTAAATGGTAGGTGCTGCGAGCAGACAGAAGCCTCGTGTGCTGACTCAGCCCCAAAAAAACAGCATAGAGCTTTCCTCACCTAAATATACAGACTTGTGACCTGTGATATCTCTCCATTTCCTATGCTTGCTTACAAAGTGGTGGCTTTTCCTACACATAGACTTTACATAGACATCACATACATCTTCTCCACATATAGGCACTGTGTTGACTTCACACGCACAAAATAGATTATTTACTTATTATCCACCTAGAAGTTCAAGTCATACTAATTCCTGCACAACATTTTCTTAAGGAAAACATATTAAGATGTAAAGCTCATTACATAAGACCACCACAAAATACTGTTGGAGCCAGCAAATAGATCCAACTTCAGTTAAAGTTCAGTGGAAAGGCTTTCTTTGATTTTGATGCAATGAACCAGAAAAATATTAGAAAATATTATCCTGATACTGTTTCACCTAACAAAATGAACATTAAAACAACTTACTTGAACCAATTGGGGTGGGTTCTGAACCCTGCAACACAGAACAACTTTCAACAGTGGAATAACACACAACATACAAGATGTTTCTACCTGATCCTATTGCAAACATAGAACATACAGCTTCAGTATTTACTTATTTACTTGAGCTTTTACACTAGCTATATATTTTAATACATAAAACACCGAATTTGAGCACCTATTTGGAGTAAAACTAGAAGGGAGGGGAGGAAATCAGAAATATGGTCAAGATTCTATTTTTGAAAGAGAAAAAGCATCCCATAGCATTTCAGAAAATATCAGATTTTACTTGACAAAGAAAGATGCAAAAAGGCAAACAGAAGTTTGATGTGTGAAATGACATCAGATGTGGGACACTGTTAAAGTATCATTGAAATTATAGGAAACATATGAAAGACAACAAATAACCACAAGAATCAGCTGTGATTACGTGAGATAATAACAAAAATAAAACCAGCCTTTTGTTATTAAGTGATTTTTTTCAGTCTGTAAGATTGTTGTCCTCATTTCCATTTCACTACCTCATATTCTATTATTTCTGCAACTCTGAGGCCTCCTGCTGCACTCTTCTATAAGGTAGAGACTTCACTAAACAGCAGTGGTGACCGACGCAAAAAGAACAGAAAGAACAGTAGAGAGACTTAAAAGCTATCTTTTATTATTCTACAAAACACTACTTTTGCCTGTAGGAGAAACTCTTAAAGTTGTGATGGCATCATGTACAAATGTAAGTGCATGGTTTTCAAATGCAGAGTATAATACATATCTCAACCTAAGATAGGATTACATCAAAGAAGAAAAGGGGTAAGTGACCTCACTCAAATAATATGCTTTTGTTATGCCTGCTATGATACTCAGACAATAACTAACAATGTGATTATCTAAATCCTGCATATCTCACAATATTACACATAAATATGAGTTAAATGTCTTTCCAACATATAATCTTTTATGTGTGACCCAAGAGCTGAGTGCTGAAGTATGTGATGCATGGTTGTTAGTTCAAACCACCTCACCACTACAACACCCACAGTAAATGGATATGTACCACTTGCATATCACACATCATGAACTACATGTCCAGGGCTATTTTAACTCTGGTAGTGATCTGGCTCCCGTCAGATGACATTCATTTTTTATGTTCTGCTTCCAAATATCTTGGGCAGGGTTCAATGACAGATGTTAGGAGAACCCACTGGTTTGATGCTGGGTCATTATTCATAGATTAGCTCTATTGCCCTAAAGAGCTAAATAGAACCTAAGCCTTGGTATTCATTTCTGTGCATACAAATAACCATCATAATACATAATCCTTTTTACAATCAAAATGGGATTGTTTTCCCCCTCTCTGTATGTTTGGCATATCTTTGCCTTTCTCTCACCTTTTTTTTTTCTTTTATAGTTTCATTTTATTTCATTCAGGCTTTTGCTGACTTTAAATTTCATTAAATATATGATTTATCACACCATTTTCCATTTAAAGAAAAAATAGCAGATAAAAATACTGTCCTGTATGAAGAGCAGCATCCCTACCTTTCTATATATAACATTTTATGGACTACATACCTAATTCTGCTCTGCTGATGATTATGGAAGTTTTAGTCTTTGGGCACAAGATCTCACCCAAAAAGTCTGGATCATCCAGCATAAGCTTCAGAGTAAGGAGCAAAGATACTGTACTGCACGGTTTCTTGCTTTTAGAAAAATTTTTGCCAGATTCATAGTGACAAAAGGCATCACAACTGCTTTGTAAGCTCAACTCCATGGTGTAAAAAGGACCCCAAAGCTTGTAAGTTAGATGGGTAGAAACAAAAAAAGGAAAATATTGTCTTAAGATTATTGCCTCCCATTACTGACTCTAAGGGTAGGAACTGATGGACAGCTGTTCCATATACAGCAGGCATTTTCATGGAAGGAAAATACTTTTGTTTCCTATTTTGCCTCCTAAAAAGGAGGAAACTATACTTCCAAGTAGACCAGCTTCTGTAGGTTTTAATGCCAAGCAGGCCTCCATCATTGCTGGCAAGAGGAATGAAATGCCATTCGCCTGATAACTGTGTCAGCATTTCAGACACACCTCATCAGTCACAGCTTATGTAATTCCCTTTGTGTATCTTTAGAAATAAAGCTTTTCTTTCAGCTCATCTAAGTTTGGCAGCTTTGTACAGCTCCATTATTCTGCACCTACTGAGAATTAGAGTTCTCGGCACAGAAACACATGAACCTGTCGGAGCAGGTTCAGAGGAAGGACACAAAAATAACAGGGTTAGAGAAATTCTCCCATTTGGAAAGCCTGAGAGAGTTGGGGCTGTTCGGCCTTGAGGAGAGAAGACTCCAGGTAGACCTTACAGCAGCCCTTCCATACTTAAAGGAGGTTATAAGAAAGATGGGGACAGACTTTTTAGCAGAGCCTGTTGCAACTGGACAAGGGGTGATGGTTTTAAACTAAAAGAGGGTAGATTTAGACTGGATGTAGGGAAGGAATTTTTTACTATGAGGGTGGTGAAAAACTGGCACAGGTTGCCCAGAGAGGTGGTGGATGCCCCATTCCTGGAAACATTTAAGGTCAGTCTGGATGGGGTTCTGAGCAATCTGACCTAGTGGAAGGTGTCCCTACTCACTGCAGAGGGGATAAACTAGATGACCTTTAAAGGTTCCTTCCAGCACAAAATATTCTATGCTTTTTAGGTGTCAATTGCCCTAGTCTAAGCATATGTATGAAGTTTTGCCCTAGTTTGAAGAAGAAAGGCTCAACATAAACTAGAGGCTCCCAGATTCTTCTTGTTATGAAAGAGGACTTAGTACTTGACAGAAGGAGAAGCAAATATTTGCATTCTGAGATTTTTATTCTGCACATACCAAAAATGCACTCATAAACAGAGGCTCAACTGCTACATTGGTCAAATGCTTAATTTTCACAGAGGAGATGATCTAGATTTTTTTTTCTCTCCCATCCTTTATTTTAAAGCTATTATGCAGTATCGAGGCAGTGCAAAATATCCAGTTTTTCAAGACGAAACCATCAAAATCATGATTCAAAGTCCTTGAGTCCCTGAAAAGCAAAAACTGTGGAGCAGAATTCTCTTACAATGAACAAACACTCTCCTACCTGCTGTATACAGCTGGTGGTACTTCATCACAACTCCCTGACCGCTTCACATAGTTGGTGTGTAAAGGGAAGCAGCAGATTAGTTACATTATATAATTTATGACAAAGTTGAACTGTCAGCAACTTCACAAAGGAGCAAAGGACTCAATGAGAAATCCTGAATGAAAATTTTGAAATCAGCATCACAAGGAAAATTATAAAGTGCTTTTAGAAAATGGAAAAGAAACAGCATTGATCATGTCAAAATTTCTGCAAAGCTCAGATATTTCAGCAAAAAGAAACCAGTCCTTAATGAAACTGACACTTAAAGTACTTTCCCCATGAGGATTAAAGACTATGATTTATTCTATGATTCTAAATCACCAGAAAAGTTTAAAGCTTGAATGCTTAGGCTACCACAAGAAAAAAAATAATTAAAAAAAATTCAAGGAAAGGCCAATAAAAACAGACACACGGACCAACCTCTAAAGGTCATCTGTGTTGATGGGCAGCTTCACCATGCCCAGCAGTTGATCAGGTTCTGAACAAAAGATACCAAATTATTAAACTCTATGATCCTTCATAACAACTCCAAATGAAACAGAAACTCCTGCCCATGGCATGCTTCAGGTGCAGGGCTCCAATTTCAGCCACAAACTCTTGATCACTCAGCTTCATCTGTTGCAAGCCAACTGTCGGCCTACAGAAAGATTGCTGAAGTGAGTTCAGAAACACCTCTGTTTGCTCAGCCCAAGCATTGGCTATTTTATGAGGCATGAAGACGGCAACTTCAGGGGTACTGGCAAGCCACGGCCTGTGCCACATCAAAGCACACCCCTTAAAACCTGTGGAATAATCACAGCTCTGCTAAACTACAAGTTACAGGTCTTGTTTAAACAACAGGATGTGAGAAAAAAACAGAAGTATTGTTTAGTTTTGTGTACCCATCTTCTCTCATGTTTTTACAGAGGCCTCTTGAGTTGTGATTCTGATACGCTTCTGTTGAGAGGGGCCTCCTGCTTCTT